GAAATTAAAAGACGCTTGCTCCTGGGGAGGAAAGCTATGGCAAATCTAGACAACATACTAAAAAGCAGAGACATCACCCTGCCAACAAAAGTGCATATAGTCAAGGCTATGGTGTTCCCAGTTGCAATGTATGGCTGTGAAAGCTGGACCATAAGGAAGGCTAAGCGCCAAAGGATTGAGGCATTTGAATTGTGGTGCTGGAGGAGACTCCTGCGAGTCCCTTGGACCGCAAGGTGATCAAACCAGACAGTCCTAGAGGAAATCAACCCTGACTGCTCTTTAGAAGGCCTGATCCTGAAGATGAAACTCAAATACTTTGGCCACCTAATAAGAAGGAAGGACTCCCTGGAGAAGAGCCTAATGCTGGGAACAAAAAATGGCAAAAGAAGAAGGGGACAGCAGAGAATGAGGTGGCTAGATGGAGTCACTGAAGCAGTCGGCGTGAGCTTAAGTGGACTCCGGGGGATGGTGGAGGACAGGAAGGCCTGGAGGAATGTTGTCCATGGGGTCGCGATGGGTCAGATATGACTTTGTGACTAACAACATACATGATATACAGGAAAACGATGCATTCAGATATATGAGCAAAAGTTCATGCTGGCCACCTATGAAAGAAAAAATTCTGGGACTTCAGTAGGACTCCAGGGTAGAGGCTGGCAGAGAAAGGCACAATCCTCTTGAGAAGGAAGAACCGGACCTTGTTGTGGTCAAGAGGCAGAACTCAACATGAAAGGGCAGAGCACATGAGCCCAAGATAGAGCTCAACAGTAAAGGGCCAGCGTCCTGGAGCAAAACAACATAAAAGAGCGGAGTGCACAGAAAATGTTCTTCTCTATGTGGAGGGCTGTTACATGTAAGAACATATAAAAGCCATGGTAGATTGGACCAAGGGTCCATCTAGTCCAGCACTCCGTACACACGGTGGAAAACCAGCTGCCCACAGGGTCCCCCAAGCAGGACAGGTGCAAGCCCTCCTCCTGTCCATGCACCTTAGCAACTGGACATGGAAGCCCCCTGCAAAGCCAAGTAAAGCATCCATACTTGATGGTGGGCCAGTGGTATAGCGACATCAGGCTGACAGCAACAGAGCATCAGTACTTCTTTTATTATTAGGGATACTTAGCTGCAGTCCGCACAGATGCTGGGACTTTGGGATGGATCTCAAATGCCCTGTAACAGCCTAGGGGATCTGGAACATGGGATCCCAGGAGATGTTGTTTCCAGAGTCTTGCTTTTATACATGTCGGAAGATGAAGATGTAAATTATTTTCATCATGATTTATTTCCATTGGGAAATAATGACTCATTAAATCCTTCTCACATTATCATGGAGGAATAACAGTGGATGCAACAAATAGTTTCATTTCTGTCCAAGGAGGGGGTTCAGCCACATTCTCAAGCACTGCTCAGTATTCTCATGTGGTGTTTCCTCTGGCAATATTCAGAAACAAAGCTCTGGCACTGTGCTTTATAACTTCCTGATTCACACCACCGGAGCATCAAAGGGCCTGGCTGCATTCCGCTCTAACTCTACGAGCAAAACTCCTGGTAAGTGTAAGATCATTTCTGATGAACAGTCAAGTATTGAACTGTGTTGGACAATAGTGGTGTCTGAGGTGCAGTGGCATCTCCTTCGTTTTATTGATGTGCACATAATTGCCCAGGCATAATCCTATCCTACAGACTGGAAGAGGGGATGCAGAGTCAAAGGCAGGCTGCTCTTGGCATATTTCTTCTCTCTGGTCAAGGGATTCCCACCAATGAAACGTGTTTCAAGTTTTAAGAATCAGTCTGCCTTCTCTTTTCAGTTTTGCTTGGCTCTGGTGGGCAAGGCCTCTCTCCCTCCATCAGCAGGGGGACATGAAGCAACGACAGCTCTGTCTAGGGCCAAAATCCTCAGGATGGTGCCATGGGTCCCAGCGTTCCAGCAGATACCTCTTGCTCAGTGCCCACCAGTCACCCTGTCCCTCCTGACTTTCATTTTATTTCTTAAGATTTTAAAATTATTATTATTAATAATAATGTTTTTGTAAACAACCACTACCACCAGCACCCTGGAAGGCTGTTATGAAGCAAAGCCAAAAGCTGCCCTCCAGCACCAGACTCTTTACTTCTAGTGTGTGGTGTTTGCTCAGCCCTCACCTCCACCTTGTACTTAAGTTCTTGGGCAATTCATTTACTTATTTTAATTTCACTCATTTCTTTTCTGGGAAATAAGTGTTTTGTGACTGGCTTTGCCCACCAGTACCCCATTTCATGAATGAGGGAATCTTCCCATAGGCAGCCACCATTTTGTGAGAGTGCCTACAACACCCTGCAGAATTCTAAGTCTGCCCACCATTCCAACAAGTATGTGGTCATGCATGATTGCTGGCAGTCTGAAGATGAAATAGAGATGGCAGCCATGTAAGCATGCCAGATCTTCACTGCAAAGTAAAGGTTAAGGTTGCAATCCTATGCATACATTCTCAGGAGGAAACCCAGCAGAAAACAAAGGGACTTAAGTCTAACTAGACATGCGCAGTTATGTCGCAGTGACAACATCCATCGCCCTTGAGTATATACAAGCCAGTGTTGTCTAGAACAAGCTGGTGTGCTTTCAACAACAGGCTTGCTTACTCCTTCCACCCCCTGGTTACTGTGCAGCCTCATCCATAAGGACAGAAAAAGAGCCATGGCCGACCAGCCCGCGGTCCATCTGGCCCAGCATTCTGTTCACGCATTGGCTCATCAGCTCCACGGCAGGACCGGAGTGCAACAGCACCCTCCCAGGTCCCCCATGGAGGCAGACTACCTCTGATACTAGAAGTAGCATGTGGCCACCTGGACTACTAGCCATGGATCGCCTTCTCCTCCATGAATTTGTCTAACCCTCTTTCAAAGTCCTCCAAATTGGTAGTCATCACTGCATCTTGTGATAGCAAATTCTACAGTTTAACTGCATGTTGTGTGAAAAGGTACTTTCTTTTGATGGACTGCTCACATGCAGAATCTCATTTGACATTTCTAGTTGGAAAGTCTGTGAGAAGGAAAATGATGCTGTTGATACTCCATGTGAGCATTCTGAGTTGGACACACTCCTCACGCAATCCAGGTAATGATGAGCTTCGATGGCATGGTTAGTTTTCAAAGTGGACCTCCTTTGTGTAACGTGACTACAGTCCTGTTGGCGCTCACCACTTGAGTTTGCAGTCAGAGTGGCTGACAACTCACACTGAGGTACAAGCCATGCAGCATTGCTTGTTGATTTACTTATTGATTTATTAGATTTATACCCCACCTCTTCTTACAAAGCACTCAAAGCGGCTTGCATTGTTTTCCTCCTGCTGCTTATCTACCTGAGGGTCCATGATGTGCAGACAGTCATGCTGCTGGTCCTCACTCACCTTCTCTCCCATTGGTTCTCTCATGGGTGCACTGTGATTTCCCCTCCCTCCACCACTGTGGAGGAGCCTAAAGAGCTCAGAGCGGCAGTGATGGGAGGCAGGAGAACAGAGGCACAGGGACTGCCTGCACCAGCTCACGGTCTGCCAGCAGCCGTGGCTGCTCGGTGCTGCAGTCCTGGGCTGAAAGGTCTTGCAGCAACTGCAGGCTGCAGAGGCTTCTGCCACCACTGACTTGCAGCTGAGTCCTTCTGGGCTTTCCACTGTAGTGTGGGAGGGTGGAACCTTAGTGCTTTCACAGGATGTCCCTGAGTGGGGAGGTCACTTATTGACATTTCGTAGGTATTTTGGCAGAAATTACGAAGACACACACCTCCTCCCACAGATCGAACAAAGATCTCTGCTGCAGTCATTTCATGTCACTACACAGTCAGTACAGTGCCACATGCACTTTAATTGCCTGCAACTGCTTCATTTCTCTTATGTGACCTTAGGGAGAGCCTTCACATACTGGCTTTAGCAAAGCCCTGCTCACAATTTGGCAACTGCCATCACACTCCTATGCATGTAAGAAAATCCTATTGAATTTTGGAGAGTGTACTCCCAGGTACATATGCATCAGATTTATGTATCCACTGCATAGCAGAGGTTGAACCCTGGCCTGCTCCTGGCCTGGCCAAACCTCACATGTCATGTTGACCGCTTTGAAAAGGGAGTGGGGCAACTGGTGGCTGTCCTGATGCTCTGGCCTAGAACACCCATCAGTCCTAGCCAGCATAAGTAATCGTGAAGGAGACTGGGAGCTGTAGGCCAAACCAACTGGAGGGTCACAAGCGGACCACCCTGGTTTAGAAATACATGCAGAAAAAGCAGGCATATACTCATGACCATGCACTTCTGTGCTCAGTGTGTATTTCCTTTGAACAATTTGCAGAAAGTGTAACTATGTTTCATGCCATTCTTAACATGAAGCTGTGTTTCTCTGAATCATGTAAAAAATGGGAAGTTACCACACCAAAAGGAAGTCTATGAAAGCCAACTGCAATCACAACATTTCCTTAATTCAATTGCAATTGTAGCCTTTACTGTTTCCTTTCATACTCCCGAATGAGCACATTAATCTTTCCCCTCTGCCCCTTTGCATTTACTGCATATAATCTTATCCCAGCTTCGCACGTTCCAGATTTCAACTGGGCTCTCTTTTGTTGTGATACTGCAGAAGAGGGAGGCCTGGTTACTGACCCATAGTGCTGGGTTCTAAGTTAACTGTCGCTTACACCGAGGAGAAGAGATGCCCATGTCACTGTAGACAGCTTAATGAAAACCTCCTGTCCAATGACAGGATGCGGAAGCAAATAAATAGAAAAATTGCTAGAAATATTCTAATGTCATGTAAATCAACAATTCACACACACACTTCAATTACTATATATTTTGCTCTGAAGACTTCATATGGAAAGGCAATTTATAGATGATCCTCAAAATAGGTGATGAAACAGGAAAAGAAAAATAATGTGAAGGGAGGTTTAAAAGGTTAACATTGTTTTGAAAGAAAACAAACAGACGGCTTGCCAAGAGATAAAACAGGCAGCAGTGATGGGAGAGGATAAATTGCAGCCTGCGATGAACACTATCTGGCCCAAGCAAAACACTTTTTAACATCTTATTAAGTTTAGTGAGAGATATAACTGAAAGGTAAACCTGCCTCACTTGGGTTAGATTGTACTCACAGATGGCAATGCGCCATGCATATGTTTGAGAATCAGCTCTATTGTGATACTGATTTAAAAAAATCTCTAACCATGAGCCATTTTTACGCAGTTGTTTGTTGATCACTTTTGTATCCCTCCCTCCAAGGAAGCGGAGGTCAGCAGCTGTGGAAGCCATCCCATTATATCTGCTCAGTCCCTGAGACTCACTGAAGCTGATAAGCGGCTGGCTCAGCGTCACGCAGGGAACTTCCTCTCCAAGTTGGGATCTGACCCCAGGTTTCAATAGTCCAGACTCCGAATCCATCACAGTCACCAGTTATTTTTCTCCTTTCAATGTGCCACAGGTTCACCTCCACACGCTCAAGTTCATTCTGTCACAAACTGCAGGAGAGCAAATGCAAGTGCTTTTGTAAAGTTAGTGAAACTCTGGAATTGTTTAGATGTGCCCTGCAAACATCCACCTTTTTACCTTTACACAGGGCCCTATGCTTAAGGTCACATCCCATCAACTTCCCAGCTGCTAACTCAAGCTAGTTTCTTCACAATCACATTTGCACAATAAAATCACTATTGGTTCTCATGTGTTCTGCACGGTACACACGTCTTCTTCCATGGTGATCCTGCTGTTGCAGAAACCAGGACACAAACGCTGGAAAAGGGAGAACACAGCAGCCTCCAGATGCGCTAGACTATTGCTCTCACCACCCTCAGCAGGAGGGGTGATGGTAAATGCAAGCCACCACATCAGGAAGGACCCAGTTTGGGGAAGGTTAGCATAGAACACCATTTGGGATACCACCAGTGATGAATGGTACTCTTTTCCCTGTAAGACCTCTACTCATTTGTAAACATTTTGCTTCAGTTTTTCTTAAAAAAAAAAACCTGTTCAGGTGGGGTGGTCTCAACTATACCGAACAACAAACACAAAAGTGTCACGTAGATACAAGGCTGATTACTCTGCTATTTGTCCTGATTCTACTTCAGTTAGTTAAAAGGATTGTTTTAGGGCTGTGAGCCTCCCGCTGCACCATGCCTTCTGTGGAGGCAGGCTTTGCTCAGATTCTTTGAAGAGGGAGTACATTTGTGCCCCTCTCACCTCAGCTTGTCCTTCAGTAGCCTTGTATTATGAATACCTACTACATGCATCTATTATTAATTAACGGTATTTCTGTCACTTTTCAGGGTCGCATCCTCACAAAGCAATGCACAATGTACCAGAAAGCAATATGCAAACAAGAGCATACTCAGACCCTGACTGCGGCAGTTAGAGCTGTAAACACAGAGGATACCAAAGGCAATTTCTCTTTAGTGGCTGTACCTGCCACCCTTCTCTCCCTTTCTCTGGGGACAGCAGGCCTTCTCTCAGTTTGTGGTATTGCTGCTTGCAGTGACTGAGCTGGGCTAGTGCTTCCGAGCATGGCTGTTTTCTTCAGGGGTAAGTGAGGCATTTTCTGTCACTAGTGAATTTATCTGGAAAGGTTGGAGGTAAGGAAGGCAGGTCTCTTTGGATTCTCTTCTAGAGTGATTCTGATTGGTTCTCCCAGAAACAGTCAAGACGCAGGGAATTATGAACAGGGAATGCCCTCAGCCAATCCATATGCTTGGTTGTTCTTAAAATTCACACCATGGCTGTTGGGCTCTTGCAAGAAACTGAAGGAAAGGAAACCTCAATAGCTGAAGCAAGAATGTGGATTGCTTCTCTTGAGTTTACATTGTGGGGAAGAGGAAATTGTTGTCTCTGGGCGACGCTGGGAGCCCTTTGCTATTTTTCCCCATTATTATTAAACTAAAGGCCTGAGGACATAGTGAGGGTGGGCTGCCTCCTGAGCATCCAACACCTTATTATTTTCCTCCTTTTTTTCCTGTCCTCTCTTCCTTTCTCTTCAAACCACCTGGTCCCAAACCATTTAGGGCTTTAAAAGTGCAGATACTTTGAATTGGAAGTGAACTTACAGCCAGGGAAATTGGTACAAAACGAGTTTCTGACTCTCGGGCGCTCTACCAGCATCTGGGTAACTATATTTTGTACCAATTGAAGTGCCTGAGCTCTCTTCAGGTGCAGTTCCGTATGAAGAGCATTGCAACAGTTCAGTATGGAAGTAATCAGTAGTATATGGATAACCGAGGTCAGGTCCATCCATTCCAGTTAGGATCACAATCAGAGGATAATGAAGACCTTGTGAAAACCTCTCCAAGCTGCAGAAAATATCTGTGGCTCACTAGTCAATAAATCTAGGACCACTCCCAAGCTGCCAGCTTGGTCCTTCAAGTTATGCTGACTTCTCACTTCACAAAAGCTCCATCTTTTCTAGACTTAATTTCAGCTTGTTTTCCCTCATTTAGGCTGGTGCTCTATCTGGATCAAGAGTTGCACCTCCTCCTTCAAACTTAGAGTAGAGCTGTATGTCTTGTATGCATTGGTGACAACAAAACCCAAACCCAGATGTCTTTTTCCAGATGCTCCATAGAGATGTTGAAGAATAGTGGAGATGAAATTGAGCCCTGTGACCCGCCACAAGCCAGAGGCCATGGGATAGAACAGAAATTACTCAGTACTAGCTTTTGCTACTGATCATTGAGAAAGACCATGGACTGATGGTAGAGTAAGTAAAGTGGGATTTTTTTGCCATCACCACCACAGGATAGGCCTGAAGATTGGCTCTTAGCTGGGTGCATTCATGATCACAGAGAGTTTCCTTGCGTTTCTACGCTAGTAGTTAACCATTTTATCACCTTCAATCCCTTAAAATACCAAGTAGCAGATAAGAATCAGATTCTCTGATTCAGTTGAACATACTAGGGAGCAATTATCTCTAAGGCCTAAGTAATCTCCCTGTTCCATGCAGAAACTTGAGCCTCAACAGGACTGTTGGCTAAGGATATAGAATTATTATTATTATTATTATTATTATTATTATTATTATTATTATTATTACATTTCTAAGCCGCCCCTTGCCGAAGCCTCGGGGCGGCTTACAACACAATAAAATACATTGAAATACAATAGAACATAATAAATTACCGTTAAATACAAAAATACAAAAAATACATTGAGTTACAAACATAATAATATAAAATTAAAATTATCAGTATAAAATAAGTAAATAAATAATATAGGAGGAGAAAAGAGAAGGAAGAAGTTGCCCTGGCCAGATCATATATTTTAACAATTAAAATGATGTTTAAATAAAAAGGTCTTTACCTGGCGCCGAAAAACCAGTAACGACGGTGCCAGGCGGACCTCTTTGGGGAGTGAATTCCATAGGTTGGGCGCCACCGCAGAGAAAGCCCTCCTCCGAGTACTTACTCTCTTAATTTCTTTCATGGAGGGTTCCCGGAGAAGGGACTCTCCCGCAGATCTCAAAGGGCGGTCAGGCATATACGGACGTAAGCACTCGTTCAGGTAGCCAGGACCCAAGCCGTTTAGGGCTTTATAGGTCATAATCAACACCTTGAATTGGGCCCGGGCTTCAATGGGCAGCCAGTGAAGTTGACGGAGGACTGGAGTCATGTGAGCATAACGCCCCGTCCCCGTCAGCAACCTGGCAGCTCTATTTTGCACCAATTGAAGTGTTCGGACCGTCTTCAGGGGAAGCCCCACGTAAAGCGCGTTACAGAAGTCTAGGCGGGAAGTCACCAGCGCGTGTGTCACCGTCACCAGGCAGTCGAACTCCAGGTAGGGGCGCAGCTGATTAATCAGCCAAAGCTGAAGGAAGGCACTCCTCGCCACCGCTGTCACCTGAGCTTCCAAAGAAAGCTCCGGGTCGAGGAGTACTCCTAAGCTGCAGACCTTATCCCTAAGAGGGAGTGTTGCACCATTCAGGACCAGGTCAAATCCACCCTCTCCGAAGCCCGATCCGCCAACCAACAGGACCTCCGTCTTGTCTGAGTTGAGTTTCAGTTTATTGGCCCTCATCCATTCCATTACCTCGGCCAAGCACCGGTTCAGCACAGCCACTGCCTCACCTGGATTAGTGGAAAACGAGAGGTAGAGCTGGGTATCATCAGCGTATTGATGATTCCGCAGCCCACACCTCCTGATGACCTCTCTCAGCGGTTTCATATAGATGTTAAATAGCAGAGAGGATAGAATGGAGCCCTGTGGTACTCCATGGCATAGCTGCCATGACGCAGAGACATGGTCTCCCAGCACTACCTTCTGGAATTGACCGTTGAGATAGGAGCGGAACCATTGCAAAGCAGTGCCTCCGACCCCCAATCCCGCTAGCCTATCCAGAAGGATACCATGGTCGATGGTATCGAAAGCCGCCAAGAGGTCCAGAAGAACCAACAGGGATGCACTCCCCCTGTCCTTCTCCCTGCACAGGTCATCGTACAGGGCGACCAAGGCAGATTCAGTACTGTACCCGGGTCTGAAGCCGGACTGAAAAGGATCCAGATAATCAGTTTCATCCAAGAGTGCTTGGAGTTGTCCCGCCACCACTCGCTCCAACACCTTGCCCAGAAACGGGATGTTGGCCACAGGTCTATAGTTAGTGGCCATCTCTGGATCCAGTGACGCTTTCTTCAGGACCGGTCGTATTACCGCCTCCTTTAAAGGGGCAGGCACTCGACCCTCCCTCAGAGAAGCGTTAACCACTTCCAAGATCCAGGTCCCAATCCCGTGCTTGGAGTTATTTATTAACCAAGACGGGCAAGGATCCAACAGGCAAGTGGTGGGGCGTACTCGTCCAAATACCTTGTCCACATCATCGGGCTGCAATAATTGAAATTCCTCCAACAATTTTGGACCAGACGGAAGCATTGGCGTCTCCCCAGAGACCTCTGATTCATTAGTGGAGTCCAGCTCATGATGAATCTGAGCGATTTTCTCCCTGAAATGCCTGGCAAAGTCGTCACAGTGGGCCTTTGAGGGTGGCATCGGATCTTCCTTAGGACCCGGGCGAACCAGGCCTTCTACCACTCGAAAAAGCTCCGCCGGACGGCATTGTGAGGAGGCAATGGAAGCGGAAAAAAACTTCTTTTTCGCCGCCTTCACCGCCACAGCATAGGCCCGATAGTGGGCTCTCAAGTGTGTTCGGTCAGATTCATCCCCTTCTAAACTAATAATCCCCTTCTAAACTTCAGAAAACCGTCTGAACCATTGAACTAGGCCTTCCACCTGCACAAAGGTTACAACAAGGCCAAAAATCAAATCTAATAAGTAACGCTCTGCCCATCACCAAGAGCCATTGCTGGTTCTCACCACAGATCATCATCCTCTAGTCAAAAACACAAGATCAGACACAAAGTGAGACCCAGCATGTATGTTGAGCCTGGTATAACTTGAAAGGGGCCTATTGTCAAGGCAGCCTGGAGTTCCTGAGGTGGACCAAATGAAGTGGCCTTGGTGGGCTCTCCCAAGACCAAGAGCCTTTGTGTTCTCAGCACCAGACAAGCCCATCTCAGAAAGCCAAGGAAGGGAGACTTCGTCGTGGGTTGTATGATACAGCAACACCAAAAACTGGTAGACCATGGACTGGGTAGTTCACCATAGGAGAGAATCTTTGCCAAAGCTACTCCCCATTCAAGGCTTTATTGGTGCTGCACATGAAATTCCATTTGAGAGCTCTAAGACAGGTTATCAGATACATTTCCTCATCTAGCCAGGCCTCAGTTACACACAGAAGATCAGCCTGTTCATCTTTGACTGTCAGTGATGATGGACACTCCACCCTGGCATCATAAGCAGCAGCACCTTCTAAGTCAAGGGACTTTCAGGATAGCCGCTTGTGTTATCAAGGCTAGAGGGCAGACTTGGAAGGAAGGTAGCATCTAAATGTCTAACTCACCTTCCTCTTGCTTCTGTTTCAGTCTTGTACTGCTATGGTCATCTCTGCCTATAATGACGATAATGGTGATGTTTTCACTACCTTCTCTTATCCTATCCCGCAGCCAGAGACATCTTACTGAGCTTCCACTAGGGAAAAAACACAATGCTCTGAAATTAAGCTAGTTGAACAGCACAGTAATTCAACTGAATTCCATAATACCCAGCTCTTGATATTAGATTTTGGAGAGACACCATTCACACAAGAAACTGGCTTCTTCCAGTTACATTGGGCTCTTTGTTCTCTGCTGAAGCAACAGCCCCCAAAGGGAGACCCCTCTCTGGCATTGCCCCTTTGGTGGTGATCATGTTGGTGGCAGCCCACCACGCTCTGGCTCTTGGAATTAATGGCCTGCCCAGGAAGTTCCAGCAGGCCTGCCAGGTGCCTCCACTCTAGGCGTCTTGGAGGATGCAAGGATCTAAAGCCTTGCCACTGCACCGCTGCTGACATGATGGTGAAGAGCAGCTGATTCACCCTGCAGGAAACTGCAGGACCAGGATTGGACTTGTAGGTCCTTCCAAGCAGTAGAGCCTGTGCAATCATGCGGTGCAGCTGGAAGTTCTGGAA